TTTACGAGCTTAGGGTTTAGGGTTTAGGGGTTTAGGGTTTAGGGGTAGGGTTCAGGGTTTAGGGTTTAGGGCTTAGGATTGAGGGTTTAGGTTGGGGTGTTTAGGATCTATAAGGCTTACAGATCTTTAGGGGTTTAGGGTTTGGGGCTTAGGTTGGGGTTTTTGGGGGATGTTATGGTGATTAAGCGAGTTGGGTTGTATGAATTTCCATGGATCGCTACAGTTGATTATTGGGGTTCTTCGAGCCATTGGGGTTTTTAGTGTTATTTGGACTATTTGCGTGTCGGGCGGGCATGGGTGATTGTTTTTTTATCTCTGCGGATCATTGAGTCTAAGGCTTTTTGGCTTTAGGGCATGCACGAGCCGCGGAGACTCTCAATGGAAAGGCAAACCCTAAACCCTAAACCCTAAACCCTAAACCCTGAACCCTAAAACCCTAAAACCCTAAACCCTAAAACCCTAAAACCCTAAACCCTAAACTGCCAAGTTGCGACGGTCACCAGAACCGGCGTCGCTGCAGCAGACGGAAATGAAGCAGCTTGCAGCGGTGCCGGCCGTGGGGTAGCCAGCCCTGACCTCTGCAAAACAAGGTTTGGGGTTTAGGGTTTAGGGTTTAGGGTTTAGGGGTTTGGGTTTAGGGTTTAGGGTTTAGGGGTTTGGGTGTAGGGTTCAGGGTTTAGGGTTTATTTAGGGTTTAGGGGTTTGGGTTTAGGGTTTGTTTAGGGTTTAGGGTTTAGGGAACACGGTGTTGTCGAGACGGTACAGAATTGCGGATAGTCTCGACACTCCTTGTCGGTTAGGAACTACCCCGTGAACACTGAACCCTAAACCCTAAACCCTAAACCCTAAACCCTAATTTGGGCTTAGGGACATGTCAGCCTCCTGTCTGCCCTGCCTGAAAACAGCGTCGTATCCGCAGCGGTCGTGAGAGCTCGGCAATGAAGCCCGCCTGGCCTCGCAGGATCATCGGTTTAGGGTTTAGGGTTTAGGGTTTAGGGTTTAGGGTTTAGGCAACTAAACTCGCAAGTTCTACGCAGACTTTTGGGCGCTTGAGCTTTGTTTAGGCTTTACGAATTGCGTTCTTTTCAAGTGCAGTGGGCCTGTTACACCATGAACGTGCTCAAGGCTCGTCCAATCTTCAGGAGTGCACTCAAAAGGTTTCTTCAAGATTGAGGGTAGAGGGTTTAGCTCATGATAGTCACAGTTGGGCACTGCCTGCGAAGGTCTTGTCGATGTAGACGCATCGGCAACAACAGGGCCTGAACTCGTTCCGTGCCTTAGCTCTGGGCGCTTGAAGAGCAGTCGAACAACTAATTTACAAAGCAACAGGGTTTTAGGGTCGACTAGGTCTATTGTAGCATTAGTTGTATAACGACTATAAAGGGATACTAGTACCGCTTATTACACCCCCTATTTTGGATGCCTGGCTTGTTAAACGAAACTACAGGTGGGTGGGGAGTTTAGGGTATATAGGGCCACTATAAGGCTTCTATGAGGTATATAGACCTTCTATAAGGCTCATATAACGGTAACTACCCACCTGAAAATCTCCTAGATCTTGCACTTGAAGCACTGGCCCATGGCGTCCACAGGGTCCACGGGGCTGGCTCCACGGCACTGCCGCGGGCTCAATGGACGCATCGTTTTCAGCCGCACCGCCGCAGCCTCTGCGTGACTCTCACAAGTCTTCTAACCTTCGTTCTATGTTTTCGTATGTCTTGTGAAGACTGTCGAGTATGACTATACTGTTGCTATCATTATTCTAGGTAGAATTACTATTATTACTACTATTACTGTTATTACTATTATTACTATTATTACTAATATTACTACTATTTCTGTTATTACTACTATTCTATTATAACTATTATTATTACTATTATTACTATTATTCCTATTATTACTAGTTTTTACTTACCCTTATTACGATTATCAATATTTGAAAATTTATTATTATTATTATTGTTACTAATATTACTATTATTGCTATTGTTACTATTACTACTACTATTGCTGTTATGGCGAATAAAACTATTATGACGATTATTACTATTACTATTCTTACTATTTTCGCTATGCTGACTATGATTATGAATACGGCTGTTACTACTCGTAGTATTATCATGCGGCTTTTCTACTTGATCTTATTCTTACTCTTACGACTCTTACAGTTCTTATGATTCTTACTATTGTAAATATCATGGTTGAAAAACTATCATTACCATCACTATGTTTCTGTCCTGACAACTATGACTATCATTACTTAGACTTACTAATCGTAATGTTCTTACTATTGCCACGACTCTTACTGTCATTGCTGGCATTACAATTGTCACACATACGTGGTACCACTAGTATTGTATTGCCAGTAGTACTAGATGTACTCTCTTACTATTAGCACTACCGTTCCCACTACTTCCCTAAACCCTAAACCCCTAAACCCTAAACCCTAAACCCCAAACCCTAAACCCTGAACCCTCGAACCCTAAACCGTGGCACGCGCCCAGCCTGCTTCTCCTGAAGCTTCTCCAGTCCCTGAAGTGAGATCTCGGAGAGACGTCGGCTTCTCTCCGACAGCGACCTTGCCCGTGTCCTGAGGGTTGAAAAGGGCTAAAGGATTAGGGTTTTGGGGTTTATGGGTCTATGATTGGTGTAGGGTTTCTGGTTTAGGGTTCAAGGGGCCTCGTCTCTGGCGAAGATGGGCCAGGGCTGCGCGGAGCTTCGATCTTGCAACCGTGCACCGCATCCTTCTTCTCGGACCTTTCCAGTTGCTTTTGTTTTTTGAACGCCCGATTCCGTTTGCCAATCCAGCATTCGTAACCTTACCTTTCCAGTTTAGGGTTTAGGGTTTGGGTTTGAGAAACCCTAAACCCTAAAGCCCTAAACCCTCAAGCCCTAGTTTAGGGTTTAGGGATTTATAGGGTGCTCGTATTTAGGGCTTTGAGCTTCGGGTCTGGGGTTGAGGGCTTCGACTACAAGCTGTCCTTCTAGAAACCTTATAGAACCCTAAACCCTAAACCCTAAACCTTATAGAACCCTGAACCCTAAACCTTATAGAACCCCCGTCAAAACACCAACAAAAGGTCTGCTTGCACAGCCCCATGGTGGTGAGTGCCATCCTACTTCAACTTTGAGTCAACCGGGTTTAGGGTTTAGGGTTGAAAAACCAAACCCCGACCCATCAAGAAAGCACGAACCCCAGAACCCTGAAGCCAAAAAGAATCCTTGTCGAACTCGCATAGGCCCCTCTCGAACTTTTACAAAGCCCTTCGTAAGAGTCCCTCTACGCATCCTGGTAGAACTTAAATAGAACTCCCTCGAAAACAACTGACAAAAAGACCCCAGCAACAGCCTCAAGGGTCTTAAAACCCAGAAAAGGGTTTAGGGGTATGGAGTTTAAGGCTTATAGGGTTTAGG